TGTTTTTCTTTCATTTTCATTATAAAATTTGCATGTCATTCTATGTGAGGATTGCTTTTTTATTTTTTAGATGTTTGCTATGCTCTTTTTCTTCAGAACGTAATTGAATGCTGTTCTACTCTCTCTTCCTTGAGCATAAGCTTGCACTCTTTAATGTAATCTATAAGGATCTAGCTGATTTTTTATTAAACCCATTGTATCTTTTTTTATTTTTTTTGGAGGTTACATACCTACACCAAAACTTTTCTTTTTTACATTTATACCACCTAAATCTTTCATATCACAACAAATATACCACTATTTTAGCATTTAATAGCTGAAATACGTCTTTTCATGCATAGGTAAGGTGGCATATACATAAAAATTGAAGTTTAAGTGTTAGATATGTAAATAGATAAGAATTGAATGGCATTTATTTAAATCTTTCATTTTTTTCCATTTTAACTCATTTTCTTGCCACAGCCGTGCAAAAACTGTGAATGAGAACCTGAAAATGAGTGCTGCTCTTCTGTCGAGATTTGACTTGGTATTTATTTTACTCGATAAGCCTGATGAAGTGCTTGATAAACGAGTTTCTGACCATATTATGGCTGTAAGTTTTATTACTTCGGCATAATCTTATCAAGACAGATATATTAGCATGTACATTACCATGCTATCCATGTACTATATATAAATAATAAATTTGTATGGGATTGGAAGCAGGTTTGCCACACCCTTTTTTCTCGGATCAAATCTTTAATGGCAATATACGTACATAGCTCCCAATTCTTATGTATTTACATATTTCACGCCTAAACTTTCATATATACGCACATTGCAGTCAAATCTATAATATCTGATAAAAATGACACAATTATCACTTTTTAAAAATAAAATACACCTTTTCATGCATAGGTTTAAAGCACCAAAGTACCGCGTTAGTAAATTTGAAAGTTTAACTGTGAGATAAGTAAATGCATAAGAATTGTGTGCTACACATGTAAATTTCCCAATCTTTAATCAGTGTTCTGTATTATAATTGGATGCCAATACCACACAAGTCGCTTGCTTCCACCTCAAAAACTTCCTTTTCCTGATATTGTGAAGTTTTAGACAAAAGGACTTTAATTTATGGGATATGATTCTAGGTAAGATTTTCCTTGACAATTCAGAAAAAAAGACTTTATAAGAAGGGCCATTTACAGTCATACCACCCAATTCTTTTGTTTTTATATATCTAACACCTAAACTTTACATTTTACATTTATAAAGCCCAAATCTTTCTTATCACATAAAAAATTCCACCACTTTTGCTTTTAAAAAATGAGAAACTTGTTTTCAAGCATAGGTATGGTGGCATTTTTGTATGAACTGAAGTTTATGTGTTAGATATGTAAATAAATAAGAATTGAGTGGTATGTATGTAAATATTTTCTCTAAGAAACCTAAGAAACACGCGTAGTTGCATGGAATACTACGGAGCTTTGGAATATAGAAGTTTTCTCCTTGAAATTCAAGAGCATAGATTGTGTTAAGAGAAGAAATTAATTTCAAGGGATAAAAACAATGGTGTTTCTGTGGATATTGTTAGACTTGCGAATTATAGTGGCATTGTGTTTCCTAAGTGCATAGGCTCTTAATCAAAATTCCACGTCTTAATTATTATTGCAGCTTCCTCAGTTTTCTATATGCTAACTATCACATATTGGAACTCAATAGCCTTTTGTACTAATTGATACATTATCATATTTTTTCTTCATGCAGCTTCACACGGGAAATGGGGAACATTTGCTGCCCGCAAAGAAGCTAAGCAGAGGTTGCCTTTTTCCTTCAACTATTGCCAAACATGATTCAAGAACGTAATTTTAATACTATTTTGCGAAATTTAATTACATAGTACACCATTATGTACTTACTTATCTCACACGCAAATTTTCATATTTACACAGCACTTTCGTGATTTAAAAAATATGTATTTCACTTTTAAAAAGTGGTAATAGTGTTATTTTTTATGTATTTTTAAATATTTGAGTGTTATGTGTGCAAATATAAAATTTTAGGTGTGAGATGTAAATACATAAGAGTTGTGTGCTATGTATGTAAATGCCCCTAATATCTTATGCATGAATTTTGAATCATACAGTGTTGGGATCTTGTGGAGACATTGCATTTGGTGTAAGTGGATCCCTGATTTCACGTCTCAGACTCGACCTTGAGAAAGATAAGGATTTTGTTCCATTACCTGGTCCTCTTCTTCGCAAGTACATTGCTTATGCAAGGACATTCGTTTTTCCCAGGTGCTTGATTTATTAAGAGACTGTTTGGGATCACTTTTTTTGTATTTTTTCTAATTTTATTTTATTATATTTTATTTATGTTTATATTTGAACCAAATTATATTTGATATGTTTGATTAAGATATAAAATACTTAAAATATCTAAAAATTATTTTGAGTGTTTTCAAAAATATCTTAATTTATTTTTAAAAACAAAAAATTTAAACATGAGAAGAACACGCAATAAATATGTTTTTAAAAATAAAAGTAAAAAAAAAAAAAAAAAGTTTAAGGCCCCTTTTGGGATCACTTTTTTTTTCTATCTTTTGCTTTTATTTTATTTTGTTGATGTTTTGATTTGATATTAAACACGTGAAATATTTTTTAGGCACTTTTAGTGTTTTTAAAAATAAGGTTATTTGTTTTAAAAATAAAAAAAGCCATATAAAAATCATATTATCCAAAAATGTTTTCAAAAATGAAAACTAAAAATAAAAACAAAAACAAAAACAGAAAAGAAAAGTGATGCTAAACAGAATTCTAAATTTTTTAAAAGATGATTAATCAAGAAATTCTTTTTAATCAATTTTTATTATTATTTTTTTTGTTTTTTTTTTTTGGGTGGTAGGATGTCCAGGCCAGCTGCTGACATATTGCAGAAATTTTACCTGCGATTAAGAGACCATAATACCTCAGCCGATGGTACCCCTATCACTGCAAGGCAGTTGGAAAGCTTAGTGAGGCTGGCAGAAGCTCGTGCGCGCTTAGAGTTGAGAGATGAAATAACAGTCGAAGATGCTATGGTGCGGTTGCTTCTTAATTGCTTTTAACTTTATTTGTTATGGTTATGAATGCCAGCCTTTCAAAAGTAGGAAAATGTCAAAATAGTCTTGATTTTTTGTATGGAGTCATTTTAGTCGCAATGTCGATAAAATTGTTAATCTAATCCCTGTACTCTTTTAATCGAGGCTAAGATAATCCTCCTTGCAGCCTATTTTATCCCATATTAAAAGAGCATGGGGACTAATTTGACACTTTTATAGACTTTGGGACTAAAATAACCTCATGTAAATGATTAGACAGTTATTTTGATACGTTGCTAATTTAAAAAGCATTAAGCAACAAAGTTAATGCATAAAAAATGAGAATGTTTGAACCATATTTCATTACTTGGTATATGAAGGATATATGACTGGGAATTGAGAGTAGTTGAAGCAAATTTATGGAAATGGTTATAATAATATAAGGTTTAGAGGTATACAGGAAGATTTGGGGGGCAAAACAGTGGAAAATTTGTTACTTAAAACCTTTTTTTATTAACACGAATAGACATAAAAAACTGCTATAAAGATCAATCAATGGCTATGAAAGATTCTGTTGAGAAAATTAGGGCGAAGAAAAATAGTAATCGACACAATCCAGAAGAACACAGAGATTTAACGAAATTCGGCAAAGATGCCTACATCCTCGGGAGCAGAGCGGTGATCTTCTTTTCAATATTCAGAAAAGAATACAGAATACAGAATTCAACTCTCTCAAAGACCTAGGATTACAAACAGATCTATTTATAATCCTAGAGTAAGCCCTACAGTACAATATGTAATTCCCAAATTACCCCTGTACCGTATAGCGGGGCGTTGACCCAGCATCCCCAACCCACATAATGTAACTTTCCAATTTGGACAGATTTTTCCGCTCCGCTTCGTTCCGCGTCTGTCCCTATACA